AAGCACTTGTTCTTGCAATGAAAACGAGTGCTATGTCACAGAATTACCTGTGACATTTCTACAAACCATTAAAAACGACCAAAATTATTTTTACCAACCTAATGATTACCGATATGCTTTTCAACCGAGTGAATTTAGTATTGAAGCGCCGCTTCAACTAAAATGACTTTCCTTTTCAAGGCTTTTGGATCTCAAAAATATATCAGATTCCTTAATCCTTGGACAGAAAGAAAATTCGTAAATTCCTATATTCCAAACGAATTTCTTCGTTCTGACAGATTTTGGCGAAATTTTGGAGAGCCTTCTCGTTCTTAAAAATACTGCATAACCAATGAACTGAAATTAAAAGTGCATAGAAAAGCAAAATTTGCGGCATGCTCCAATAGAATCCGATGTATTGCTTGTTTTTGTTATAAAGGGACATTTTTTTGAGACAATTGAGCTGACTGGGAGTCTCTATGAATATGATTTCCAGCTACTTGATTTGTTCCTTGAGTTTTACAATACAAAATTTACGGTCAAAAGTAGCACATAAGGATACATAGCAGTCGTCTTGGAGCAAGACTTATGGAACAGTCTAATTAAAGGGACAGAATGTTGATTTTCTTTGAAAGCTCTGTCATTAATTCATTTTTTCGCTGACTTTCAATAAAAGGAAACCCGCGAATTCTTCCGGACCCCTCTGCTTATTAGACAAAGAAAGTACGCTTGCACGTCGCGTGAATTTGATCAATGCTATAAGATTGCATACATTGCGATCCAGTCTGGTTCGTATGCATTTCCGTTACTAAGGAAAAGTTGAGAACCTCAAGTGGTCGAGGATACTTGAATGATAAATAGCAGTAGCGTACACGTTGGATGTTTTTTTAACCTTCAAAAAGCTCATCAACATCAAGTTAGAACCTGGAAAATACCTGGAACATATTGACACAAATATTTCCGGAATAACAGCGAACACGAGAGCAATCTGAATCAAGCATTACGTTGATGCAAAAATCATGGCCGTTTTGCGAATTCTCAATCTGAAGTGCTATAACTCTCTGAAAAGTTTACATTTTTGAACGCGATAAGGACCACTACAAGTAGCAACGTTTTGAAGTACAGCGCACATTCATCTATACTCACATCACAGTCAGTAAAATATGGATTAAAAACAAGCGAATTTTTTTTCCTAAAACCTATTTTTAACAACTCATAACTCCCTTCATATTTTGTCAAGATAAATGAAAAGCTGCCTCTCTTGTAGTCGCAGGTCTGGTGGACAAAAAAAGATGCAAAATGTTTGAGCAAAAAGGATCTGAAAAAATAAAATAAAGATAAAAATCCAAAATTGTCAGCTTTTTCGCCATTTCCTCAGTGGTCCTTCAATTCTCGAACAGAATTTTTTCATTTTCTGATTGAAAGAGAAATAGCAAGAATTTTCAACAGGATGAACTTACGCTTACAGAACTGAGCAAAGCTTTGGCGATTTTCTTCAATGAAACAGATTGACCGCAACGGCTCCCCATGTTGAGGCGCCGATATGTCAGTCTAGATAAATTCAAAGAAAAAGTTGAGTGTGCATAATGAGGACACCTTGCTTACATGCAGTAGCTAAATTTCCGGAGAAGCATCTTGATTTGCGCCCGAATTCTGGCCAGAAAAGTGAGTGCAGTGAAAATCTAATTTTGAATTCAATTATTTGAAGCTTTGTAACTTTTTAACAGATGAGATAGTATAAGCCCATTTCAACCATCATGAGATGTTTTTTATTTATTTATTTATTTATTTATTTATTTATTTATTTATTTATTTATTTATTTATTTATTTATTTATTTATTTATTTATTTATTTATTTGAATACGCTACAGGCGCACCATAATGTCGGGTTAGTGATTAACAGATTCTTGAAAAAAATCAATGTTAGAAATGCAGAAACACAGAAACAAGAAAGGCTTACCGCTGAAAAATAAAATTGCTTTTTTGAGACCATTCGCCAGTCTAGGTCCACACTCTCATGAATGATAGAACACAAGGATTAACTATTAGAAGCGCTGCCATAACGAATATTCATATAAGTCTACACATGCCACCCTCGCTGACCAACAAGCGACCAATATTCAAGGAGTATTACGGAGTAACTGTGAAAGGGGGATGCTAGCGCAACAAACTAGGTAACCCTTGTACAACCGAACATACTGGATGGACCACAAACTCAATAGGAAAACTGGAAATAACCTCGGTAAAAAATATATGGTGCATGAAAAAAACTTTATCAAAAATATGCTTATCCGTTCAAAGAAATCTCGATGCGAAAAAGTTGTTTTGAAAGAATGCTCAGAAAACGACCATCATCTTCGCATTAAGCTGATATTTTGAAAGGAAAAATTAGGCTTCTGCAAAAGGTTTATTAGTTTTTAAATCCATCGGCAAATACAATAGATCTAGCTGTATTCCCAATGTGATTTGTTGAGGGAATGCTGAGACAACTGTTAAAAATTACAACCCTTCATTTTCACCACGTCCAACTTTCGCCAATTTTTAAAATTTTTATTCTGCACTTTTAGAACTTCAATAGCCAGCAAGTAGGGCAAACCTTTTGCCAGCTGAAGCAACTCCTCTCATTTTTTAAGCTACTCTAGATGCTAAATAATTTTCCAAAGGTTTTGAGTTCTGGAAAAAAACGCATAATCTGTTATTGCACCAATACTGATCTTCAGAATACTGAAGTTTTAACACCTTATTAATACTATTACTAACTTTAGATAATAAATAAATTTCTCTTCGAAATATTAAAATTATCACTTAGGGTACGTCAGTATGCACTCGTAAAATTGAGAGATACTGCTCCGCGAATTTTGCGTTTCGCCAAGGAGAGAAATTGCCAGAAAACGAAAAAAAAACTGCTTTAGAAGAAACCGGAACTGTTTACCATTCCATTTTTCACAGGGTTAGGGCCGAATATAAAATTTGGCTACTTCAAAAATATAACTTCAAAAATTTTGGAAACGTATGCCAGAGAGCTACAAAAAATTGTTTCAGTTGGCAAAAGGTTCTCCCTATTTGGTAGCTATCAAAGCTTTCCCAATAGTCAAATAAAACAGACAATGTAAGAACGAAGAAGCTGTAATGTCCAATGATTATCTCGACACTCTCTCATCGAATTACACCGACAAGACTACGGTTGAAAAGAGGAAGAGATTTTGCATCGCATACATCTTGAAGTGTTTGTTTATCTTTACTGTGCCGGATTTGCGTATCCTTTCAAAATACTGAAAATTTTTTGAACCGACAGAATATATTAGGCGGGTACAAAAGTAAAATTTGCAGATAATAAATTAATACAAAAACAAAATAATATATCAGAGCATATTCTACCAAGACATGCGATTATGGAATTTACGTATTCGATAGAGCGAACTCTACAAAATGTTTGTTAATTTTCTAAGTAGTACATGAATCTTTGATCAATACTATCGGTATCGATCAATACGGTTTGTAGGATTTTCTATAGCAGATATATAATTAGTAACAATCATGTATGCATTGCTATAATTTTTCAGCGCTTAGAATTTCAAAAAAACGAAAATCAAAAATGGCAAACTTTACCGTTAACAGAGCGAACTTTTCTCGACGGGTATTGTATATCGCCCTTCGGAAGCATGACTATGAGATTACAACCTAATACATGCTTTAGCCTTAGATATAAATCAATTTTAGCATCAAGAAGGTAACGAATTCTGGCGCCAACTAATAAAAAAAATGGTTAAATAAAAATATATTCATCTTTTTAATATCTTGAACAGGCCAGTTTTTTTTTTGCTAGGAAAATCAACAAAATATGAGCCAAAAAGTAATTATAGACTTGTGAAATCCTTGACTTTTGGCAAATTTATTCTGAGATTTCTATCTTTTTGAGAAAATAAGATTTTTGTCAAAATCTTTGTTTAGTAGGTTGCAATAAAGCATGGACTGGTTATGGGCAGTGTACTAACAAAAAGGTATTGCTCAAGCCTCAATATAAGTCACATTCTGGTATGGCCTAAAGAGCGCGAATATATCCTGTTAGCACTTTGAATATATGGAATTTATAAGAAAGTGACTGGTGAAACCGGTACATGTTTTACTTGTGCTATGCTCTTTCTCAGAGCTTCCGCTCTCCTAAAAAGCATATCAACTTGTTGGAGCTGACTATCATGTGAAAAAAAATACCCACTGATTTTTTTCGCAGTTCCTTCATGCACGATTCTCATTCAGCTGAACTTAGTTAATCTGCAATGTGTCAATGACATGCCCTACCTTTAACGCTTCACTGCGATATTTAGCTTACAATCACAGAAACTTACAAAAGTTCATTTTCAAGAACGCCGCGAAGGTTATCCTCGAATGTGGGATAGTACGGTGAACGCAATTTCAAAGATCAATTATTCCATTACCAAATTTGATGCTTAAAACAGTCTTACCAATCTGTACCTACCTAGCATTATCCACCACAAGTGACGATGACTCCAAATTGCAAAGACCAGTAGTTAGGTTCGAATCCTGAAACTTACTATGAATTTAGCAGCTTCGAAGTTTTTGAAATACGGCTTGATGAATTGCGATTTACAGTACATATGTAACCGTCAAAAGCATAGGTGCTACGGAGTTTCTGATGTGTACTAACCAAAGTAAAAAAGAATTGGTTACTAAATGAGTCAGCACTGAGAGTAATTTGAGACAACTACGCAATATGCGCTACCGTGAGTTGAACCTGTAGAGCTATACTCACTACTAGCATAAAGAATGAGCAAGTAATTGTTATATGTAACTAAATCGCTAAAAACCTTACAAGTACGTTGACAGAAGCCGAGTAAGCGTGTGCTCTCCCGAGAACACTGATACCAGTGGTTTTTTTTTCGCTGACGTCCTGCGCGTTTCTGTTAGCGAAAGCCAGTCCTCGTATTGAACTCCGCCCACATTCGAATTCTATCGAAGTCCACTATATAAGCTCGTCCGTGTCAGTGCCAAATCAGCACGACCACACCAAGCAATGAATTCAGTCTTTAGGTGTGTCAGCATCTGCTTACTGCTATTTGCCTCTACAGCACAAGTGGAAGCTAATGTGCTTGGTGATTCAACAGCTTTGGCATTCAATGAGGTGGGCGAGAAAGTTACATTTTCTACGTTTTTCATATATATGATTTCCCATAAGTCTTTTCATGAACTAGGGCACCTAGTAGGCTGCAAATTTGTGGCAGTAATTCTGAGTGAAGAAGCTATACACTCACCTATATTCGGGGAACACAGAACTGATGCACGCAAAGTTTGAAAATTGAGCGCATTACTATTTTCTTGTTTTCTGAAAAATGCAGCAAGTGCTTGTATAAATATCCGATGAGAGAGTATATGCATGAGAAAGTGGGAAATTTGCAGAGTTGTTTTGAACTGAGATATGACGATTTTAGTTTTCTTGGGAATTCCAAAAGAATTTTGTTTTGGCTTGGAACTTGTTGCGAATTAAGCTTGGTGCGAGCTTTCGAAAGCCATCATGTAGAGCTTGGCTTTGATTTTTGAACAGTACCCGCATTCTACTGAGAGTTCGAGAAGAACTGATTTAAGTTGCTGAAAAGTCATTTATGAAAAAACTTATGGCACAACCTAATATTTCTCGGAGTCGCAAAACATCCAATATTTGTCATTTATTTCCGACATATTATTTCCCTGACAAGGCTACTGTAGTGATTTTGCTAAAAAAATATAACTTCTTTTTTTGACGATTTCCAGAAGTCCAGGACACCTACTAAGACTAGAATTCCAGGAACTGATTTTCGGAGCTGCACCGTTACATTTCCAATATAAATTTTGATTTGAATTTTAGTATTATTTCAAACAACTTTCTAATGTTTATTTTTTTATTTGGTAGCATGGCTGTAGAGCAAGTCTATAGCTTAGAAAGATTGCAGCAATATAATCTTGCTAAAGTCGATTTCAAAATCGGCTCAAATGTTTTAGTTTGAAATTAGGTCTGCTCACCCTGACATTGACTCCACCGGTATATCCATTTTTAAGACTTCAAAGCCTCCACATTTATTTCAGAAAGCTTCGTTAACACGTGTGAAGAGGAGTTGCTGCTCATCGGCTTTGATGTCATGCTGTCCACCTGTAAGTTTTTTTTACAATCTCTTTAGCAGTAGACTTTCTCATGTAACATTTTCCAGACAGCAGTCTCCTGTTTCAATACTTGTAACGTACAATGTGTTCCAGCGTGTAGAACGCCGACATGCATTGCAGGTGAGCTGCTTGGAAGGGTCCACTATCTAGGCTATCTCATCTAGGCTTTCTTCGTTTTTCTTTAGACACAGACATAGCTATTGTCTGCGTTTTAGGATGCACCAACAGCTGCTGTCAAACATGCGCCATTCCCGTTCTCGTAGTTCCTGTGCAAGTTACCCAACCTACAATTCCTCCGCCACCACCGACTCTACCACCAACCCTGCCACCTCCACCACCACCTCCACCACCAACTCTACCACCAACCCTCCCACCTCCACCACCACCTCCACCACCAACCCTCCCACCTCCACCACCTCTACCACCAGTCACCACGCCCGCTCCAGCCGCATGCCAACCTGTCTGCCAACAGACTTGCATGACGTGCCCGACACAGATCTGCATCAGCTTCTGCATGCCAAAATGTGTATCTATGTGTTCACAAGCCGCTCCTGCACCACCACCACCTCCTCCTCCTCCTCCACCAACCACACTTCCACCTCCTCCACCACCACCGCCTCCTCCAACTACTCTTCCACCACCACCTCCTCCTCCTCCACCAACTCTTCCACCTCCACCACCTCCTCCACCAGTCACTGCTCCACCTGCTCAACCTGCGGCTCCGGTAGGGAAGAATTCTAATATGTCAGCAGACTTTCCTGAACCATTATTTCAGTGTGTACAAGTCTGCTTGGTACCCTGCCAGGCACGATGCCAGGTTATGCGCCCCGTTAGTGTTTGTATGCCAATGTGCCAGCAAACTTGCCAGTCGACCTGTGCGCAGACTCAAAGGATTGTGGTACGACTACAGATTTGACTATTCAATCTTTCTACCGTAATCTTAACATATCACAGATACCGTGCTCGAGCGTAATGGGTGGTGGTTGCGGCTGTATGAGCGGTTACAGTCAATGCGGTGGTATGTGCTGTATGTTGTAAGGACGATAGGTCCAAGCACTAGAATGCACTATGCCGAGCTCGATTCTTTCAAATGCGTCAATTTTAGTGATGCACATTGTATTTTTTACGATTCACATTGTTTGTGAGTAATGTTTGTACAAAGCAACTTTTTTAATGAGTAAATGTGGATAGTTTTCATTTGTAAAGTTTTGTTTGTTTACACGCTCTTGTGCGCGGATAACACCACCACAAAAATGGCGATTATCCGCGGTATCGGTAGGACTTAGGCACCTGGAAGCAGAAACCGCCATTGCCTGGTTGTAAACGGTCTCCCACTTTCTTGATCGCTAAGTTTTTCAAGGTTTTTTGGATGGATTGAAGGCATCAAAAGGAAATCTCACCGCCTCGCAAATTATGTGATTCAAATAGCGATTTGTAGGAAAAAGTAATCATTGCAAATAGACGGGTGCAATCTCAGCTTTTTCAACAAAAACGATACAAACGAACTAACTAAGAGCTTTGGCAAACATAAGTGGGTTTCCAGCAACTACGCAGTAATTCCGCCTCCTTCCTTTGTACTCTATTTGTACTTACCGCATTCTTTTGCTGCACAAGTGAATCCCAAGACAACGGTTTCATTAGAAAGATTAGCTTTTTGCTGGAATGAGCGGAGGTAAGCAAACAAGGGAAGGATTTGAGGTCGCTGTGGTCTCCCCATATAATATGTATATCGAAATACTCGCTCTGAATCGTTGATTTTGAAGCTGTTTTCGTTATTTGTAAAGCGATCTTCTGCAGAAAGTTATGAGCGAATTTTCCAATGAAATTTGAGTGGTACTAGACTTCAAAATCGTTGTTGCTTACCAAGTTGCCAGCTTTATGCTACGGCTTAACATCAATGACCAAACACTGACCACTGTATGACAACTTCCTTCCAATTTTTTCAAACACAAAGCAGGAAACCTCGCAGAGACCATTCTCGAACCTCTGAAACAATGCAAATTTGTCATTGGAAAACGATCATTACTTTTCTCAGAAGATCACTTTGCACACAGCACGTAGACCTAAAATTAACGTTTCAGCGAGTAATTTTCATGTAGATTTTAAATGGAAACCACGTTGACCTCGGGTACTTCCTTAAAGGCAGCGTCCAGGCAGATCTGGACCTATGGGGATTTTACTTGGAAAGTAATTCTGGGGCCCTAACTAAGGCACTGCCCAAACGGCAGCGTAGGTGAATCACTAACGGTTGAGAGATGCACCTCCAAAGTGGACCCCAGGATTGCTTTCGCATGGATTCATGGCAGTTTCGCGCTAGGACCCATGCTTTGCGCTGTGAATCCATGCGAAATACGATAGGTTCAGTTTCGAGGGGAATATCTCATTCGTTAGAGCACTACCTGAGCTGCTGGCTGGGCAGTGGCTTAGTTAGGGCCCCAAAATTACTAACCACGTGAGATTCCCATGTGTCCAGACTTGCCTGGACGCTGCCTTTAAAAGTGTCATACCGAAAGTCACTACCATGGTCAAGCGTGAGGTTGTGGCATGCCACACCTGGGGTCGTATTGAGGAATTAGGGAGAAGGGGGGGGGGTCGTTATCAAGGCGTCCGCTGTTCGCATGACATGTATTCGTTGAAAATGTCAAATAGGCCCGTCACGCAAAATACTAGCACATTGATGTTTGACCCTTTATATACGTACAGTAAGCATGATTAAAGATTTATAAAGCATAAGAGCATCCTTTTGTAATCAGCAAATAAAATAAACCTTTTGGTCCAAGTTTCAGCGAATCTGAGGTTTCCAAATACAGGACCACCTAAGTGAGATGGTCGTTTTCAAACATGTTACTTTGTTTCAAAAATAAGTTAACTACTTCTTTTTGCGCTTAATACAAGGAACTACTATTTCTTTGCTCACATTAGGAATCCTACTCCAAATTACCTCCAAATTAAGGAATGAAGAGCAAGCCAAAATCGCGTCTGTTCCATTTTTCGTTTTCAATATCTCAGGCTGGAGAAGATCAATCAGGCTCGAATCACTTTAATGTAGATTACGAGGTTTAGGCTATCGAAGAGCTTCTTGTCACCTTCCCTTGCGATTCACGTAGTAGCGCAGACTTAGCGTGTTATCGTATCTCAATATTTTCGCAGTGTTTTACCAGTATTTTACATTTGCATAGGTAAGGAAAAAACGATTATATCTTGCTCTTAAAGAAACGTTTTCATATGAAATTTCTTCTATGTAAAGAAGAAGATTAAGCAGTAACAACGATATGAAAAACGCAGCTGCTTGTTCTGTTTGAAGGTAAGTTAATGGGGGCACCACCCCTAAAAAGCTGTGGCAGCCACAGTTAGGGGTGGCGCCACACCCCATTAACTATATCAAAAAACATTTTTAGCAAACGCTATTCAAATGATTCGATAGCCACGACCTCGTAGATTTCATAGGAGTGATTTGAGCCTGATTCTTCTTCTTAGCTCTGAGCAATACCTGGTGAAAGCACAGCCATTAAAAGCGAAAAATAGGAAAAACAAGATTTTGGTTCTAATTCCAAAATTAGAAGGTCTTTTAGAGCGAAATTTCTGCAGTTGCCGAAGAAGAAGTAGTGCATTGTCTTGAGTGTAAAAACAGCCAGCTACTTCACCTTTGATACAAAGTTAATCATGCTGAAAAATGGCGATTTCGCTTAGGCGACCCATTATCTTGAACTTCAGAATTCGCTCAAACATTGTCTATAGGGGTTAATTGACATGCTAATTATGGATATGTTGCCCGTTATGTTTGACAGTGCTTTCAAGTGATGCTATCTTAGATATAGAGTTCAGGGCGTCTTATTGAGACAGCAGTAAGAGGGGGGTCTAACCAGCGATCGTGTGCCACACCTTTTGCTTGACCTTGGTCACAACTATGGCGGAAAGCTTAGAGAGATGTGAGGAAATAGAATTCTTGCAAGATTTAAAAGTCCCTATTCGATGCTCCTCCAGTCAGAAAATTCAGTCCTAGAGTTTTCAAAGTCTAGCGGTTAAAAAGTGGCGGATCGTTTGCAAGCAGCCAACGGCGGCTTCCGCTTCCTGGTTAGTTTTTTCAATTAATTCACCTATCGTAAGCATTAGGTTGTCCGGAAATTAATGCAGGTTTTGCAAATTCTCACTTTAAAGTGTCATAACTCCTTAAGAATTGCATATTTTGAAACAAAGTGAAAAATACTGTGATCAGCAAATTTCTTTTTATCTAAAGCACGTTCAACTGTACCTGTAGCTCCAACAAGCAAATTACCGAAAACCAGAAAGTAAGAAGATTTTTTTCCAACAAGGTCATCTTTGGCAATTTGTAAACTCCTATTGGATATGATTGTTCAATGAAAAACTGCTGCAGCGTATAGCCACAAACAAGTACTACATGTATAGCCATGCAGAAATTTTTTTTAGGAACTTTTTGGGAAACAAAGAATCTCAGAATCAAAATTTTCCACTTTTCAATATTTTCTCCACGGCTAGTCTGCGAAAATTTTGAATTTTTCATTTACTCGCCAAAAATATAGCCTGGAAGGTGACAGTTATAATAGTATCTGACGGTACCGGCCCCACATTTCAAGCACGGGGAGAAACTTTCAGGCTGCTTTCTTCAGAAAAGTTTTCTACGCCTTGGAGCGGCCACGACAATTTATCATGTTAGAGCCTTAATTTCTCAGCTCTCACGATTGTTAGAAGAGAGCGCTACTGCTCATCTTGTAGGCTCAGTCAACTTGCTTCAGCTATATTATCACGGAAATACTCTTCTTACCAAAAAAGTTCAAGCCAAAATAGTGCAAAGAGTAAATCTTGTAATTCAAAGCTTCATCTTCGGATGGTCTTAGAATTTGAACAAATGGAGTTGATCGTAGAAGTAAGATGTATAAGATAGGGCATAAACAGGACTTTCCTACAGTATGCGAAATTGGTCGCAAGATGCACATATACACAAGAACGATCCTTTTGAAAATCCATTTGCAGAAACCTGCTTTAATTTCCGGACAACCTAATACTTTTCTATTGCCCAGACATCCCGACTGTTAAGCTTACCTACTATTCTCGTCGTGTTGTCCGCGCTGAAAAGCTTGTGAAAGAACAAATAAATTTTAACAATAGAAACACTATCCGCACTCATTGTATCTTATAATTGTAAGCTACTACACCGCAGAACCGAACGGTAGATGCAGGTTCTCCTTCTTTTTGCAGACGATGTTTTTGGGATGTTGAGTTGCGCTGCTAGAATGCACCCGAATCCGACCCCCGAGCAAAAGTGAGACATGAAACAAGTTTCATATTTTGTATACTCGGGCAACTAAGACATTTTACTAGCGACAACGGAGGTGATTTTGTAGTTACCCATTGTCTGTTAGATGCTGCGATAACGGAAGCCATCTAAGAAAGGAAGTTTGAGGAGTCGCAGTAGTCTTTACATGAAATAGATTTTATCCGAAGCCGCTTGGAACGTTGTTTTTAAAGTAGGCTTTATTAGCTGCAAAACAAATCAGGGTCGGAAGTCATTGAATTTGATTTGCGGGAAATCCACAACACTGAGTAGCCAAAACTATTCCACTACTTTTTCAATGTTATGCTGTAGTGCTTCAAAGCATTTGAATGATTACAGCGTACTCTTAACAATGTAAAATTCAAAGCCCTATCTCCCCAGACTTGTTTTGCAGTTAAAAAGGCTCTTTTGGTGTCAGCGTTTTGATCTGCGTAGGTGATTGTCTCATGTCAAAAGGTCACTGTGACAATTCCCTTAAAGACATTGCGCTATATCTACTTTTGTTTCGAGAGGTTCCAAGCAGGGTGAATGGGGAATGTCAAAATAACGAAAATCCCAACACATCACAAGACACTGTCACTGTCACGCTTCAAAAATGAGCTCCCTGTTCGCCCTGTACCTCCTGATTGAGACATAAGCCCCAATCGAAAATGATCTGGCTCAGATCCTTCCACGTACAAAGTGTGACCCACAAAGCTGCGTGGGAGAGCCTACTACGGATACCGGTTTGTTTCCTCTTCCTTCTCATTTGGCCAATCTAACATGATTTTGAAACGCTTACGCGCGGCTGACATCAACGGCAACTATGTCATGGAATCATGTGAAATCAGCGCGTTTTACACAAACGTAGTAACGCTTGCGCTATTTTAAGCTGTGTCAAAGCTTCTCACCGTCTAATAATCTCAACCTCTACGGGCTGTTAGTTCCACAGCTCATACCACTGTTAGAGGTATTTGTAGTGCAACATTTGTAGATGATATAGTTTGTGGTTTGTGGAGGTAGTTTGTGCAAAATAGAGGATCAAACCATGGGATAGTTAGCTCTCATGCATGCGGTAGCCTTCATGGCCAATATCAAAGCCCCAGTTTTAGAATGCCGTCCAGCTATATGCAGGTACACTAACGACTGTCTCATATAATCCTTCGACTTAGGCACAGGGCCCGGCACGAGGTGGGCAGACGGGGTTTTCCAAAACGAATTCCCCTTTGACCCAATAGTTTTTACGAGTACCCTCTTGCATCCAAAATTGACGCTTTGTGCTTGTGGAACGGGAGCACCGGCCCATTTCGCCTAAAAGCGCTCAAAAGCGCCCAAAATGCTCAAACCTCACCTGTATCAAGTAGAAAACAGGAAGAAGAATAAGCAAGGAAAATGATGAAGGTATGAAAAAATATCAAAGGAACGCAGTCATAGGACTGAGAGATCTCACCATATAGTAAAATTTAGGTGAACAACAGATTAATGTAAAAATTTTGAAAAAATTATGTGAATTGAAAGTTTTGCCCACCTTAAATGGGCATTAGGTGGGCAATTGCCCACCTAATTTGTAAAAAAGTTAAGCACGCTCTTCATTCACATAAGTGTATCATAATTTATCATACATTGTTCCTTAGTTTTACTACGCGTATACACACCAAGTCTCGTGCGATTTCGTTTTCTCTGCGCTGTACATGAGCCATTTTTCCAATTTTCTTGATAGTGGGAAATTTTCAGAAAAAAGCTTGCCACAACCTTCATTCAAATAATTTTTCAATAAAACTTCTAAGATAAGCCCTGCAGACCCGTGTTCATTTACCTACCAAGTTTCATACCTTATGGTCATCTGTGCGCTGCAAGCGAGCCATTTGAATTCACATCTTCATTTACCAGTTTTGCGAAACTTTTGGAAAAAATGCTTATTACACCTCCCATTCACATAAGTTTTTCATAACATTTCATGCTTTGTTTCTACTAGCCTCTCTTTGTTCGCTTACATAATTTGGTGCTATATCATTACGCCTGCATTGAGAACTGATCATGTAATCATGCTGTTCAACGGCATCGCTGATGCGACGTCGCGCACGCGGCAACTAGCGGCAACGCGGCGTAGTGCGCGCGAAGTCTGCTGTGCGTTGAGGTTTATGGAAACTACTTCCCAGTGAATTAAATGTATAAGGCAAGCATGATTTCACCTTCTTTTGCTTGCACTTGGAATCTTCTTTCGGGGCTCCGCCCCGGATCCCGCAAGAACGATATCCCCTTTGCTTTTTGGCCCCAAAACGATTTCCAGCTTGTCATTTGCCCACCTCGTGCCGGGCCCTGCTGGCAGAAACTGACAATTGGTCCAAGATACTAGGCGAGCTTTCCTTACAAAACCACAAGGAAAAATTCATTGAAGAGCATTACCAGTTTACTACGTCCAAGTTAATATCGTTTCAAGTAGGCACATAGCAAAATGGTACCGCAAGGCAGAAAACAAAAACCTTTTTGTACACTTTCGTTCGGCCCATCACACATACCGAGTGTCCTAAAAAGATGTGCACACTGTTTAATCGTTAATAACTCTCTTGCTTTCATGTCTTTTGCCGAGTTCGAGGTATCGTTTTGTGGAGCGAGGTTCAACTTAGATTTATAGTATGGAGCAATCATAAATCGTTCTTCATTACTGCATGATTACGGTATGAACTTTTAGCGCACATTGTCACTGTTAATCAGGCCTTTTGATGAAATAATCTCAAAAAAATCTGAAAATTAGTGTAGCAAGGTTTTCAAGCGTGCTAATTTCACTGCATAACTTTCCACCAGTTTTTTGAGCTTTTTTGATGACGTATCACATTTCTGACGAACATTGGAGAAACAGTTGTTACCCTAAATCTAAAATAACTCTTGAAAGAAGCCCTATACTGAAGTGCAATTTTCATATTTAGAATCAGCGGCTTTAGTTAGGCCAGTACAAGAGTCTTTGGCTTGTTTGGATTTCGTTCCAAGGCAAAAATCACTTTCGATGGCTTAAAATCCTCCTTGAAGTTCCTATGGTAGCTACAGTAATGAAAAGCACCGATAATTCGCTCCATACAGTAAATCTAAGTTAAACCTCGCTTTAAAAAAATGATGCCCCAAGCTCGACAAAAGACATGAAAGCAAGAGAGTTGTTAACGATCAAACAGTGTGCACATCTTTTTGGGACACCCTGTATAAAGAGAGCTGCTATTGAAGGTATGTTCCCGTTCTTGCTGTGGACAGAAGGACGCGATTTGCGCCGCTGGATAAATGTATAGCGCCTTCTTATGCTATGAGCACTATGTCAGACAGACAGGGCGGCGTGAAAAACATCATTTTCGGACGGACGAACCTAACATAATCGATAAGATCCTTGCCAGCGTTCCTTATAACACCGCTGAAGTCATCACTGCTTTAAGAAAGTTTGTGAAGATATGAGGATTGAGAAAAGTGTGTTGCCAACTTGGAGATTCGCACCTACGATCCACCTGCACAACGCCCAATAGCAACATGCCCTGCAGGTCGGAGTGGATAATGTATGGGGCAATTTACCTTATTACCTGCGCGGACTGCATGACCTGTACATCGATGTGACGGCTCGCCCTCTATGCGTCCGCATTAAGGAGCATTTAAACATTAGAGAAATTAGATTGAAGAGAAGGTTCTTACAGATCGCATACCTACAAAGTATTCATTTCAACGTAAGCACTGACAAAGGAGGCTGCACACTGTCGGGTAAAGGGAGTCAATTTCTACAATTTGGTAAGCACAATCATTGTAAGTGTTTCCTCTGAGATTCAAACGAGATTTCTAAAGCATAGAATTTAGACGCCATCCAAATCTCCCACTTCTATAAACTCCAAAATCATGCTTCGAAAGTACTAAAGCAGCAAATTTTCGGTATGTACATGCATGAGATTTTGAGAAATAGCCGATTTAATCTGAGAATGTCCGAGAACTTTTGAACCAACCTAATAGATCGCGCAAGATCACACTTCTAGGCACTCACAGAGCAGAGAAAAATTCTAAAGCTTGACAAAGATTTTGGTAAAGAATGGCAAACCTCAGCTTGCGCGTCTGGAACTTTTTCGGATTCAAGCAAAAAGCTTACAAAAGAATTGTAAGGAGCAGTGCTTCGCAATTACTCGTGGACTCGCTCTTAACCTGATGAATAGCATGGCATACATGATCAATTGGTAATGCTCGCTTAGGCGCCTCTGTGCTAGCGGAGTTCTCGAAAAGATAAGTGATTAGTTTGGTGGACTACGGAGTAATCAGGCATAGTCCTAGTTTGCTTGTGGAGCTGAGACATTTGACTGGATATTTGCAAACACTTTGTCCATTTCAGGCTCTAAAGAATGCGATCTGCCAAAATGTCAGCCAAGAAATAAATGTTATCAGTCTCGAGTGCGGCTTACATTCAGATTAGCAAGAATTAAGTCATGCCCATTTATAGAGAGTCGAAGACTTCATTTACTGAATAATGTCGTTTTGTACAAACAAATACTTTCAAAGAACATTAGCCAACAAATAGAATGTGGAGGAAATATGCACCAGGAGTAATATCGCATTTTTAGGAAACAATCAGTATTTGGAGGGGTTCATCTTAGAGCACCGTAATACATTTTGGTCCAGTTGTGACCCATCGTCCTTACATACAACACATTTGCTGGCACATTGGCATACAAACGCTAACGGGGCGCACAACCTGGCATTGTAGCTGGCAGGGTACCAAGCAGACTTGACACTGAAATAATGGTTTAGGAAAGACTGCTATCAACAATTTGACTAGTTCCTTACTGAAGTCGCAGGTGGAGCAGTAGTGACCGGCGGAGGAGGAGGTGGAGGAGGAAGAGTAGTTGGTGGAGGAGGTGGTGGTGGTGGAAGAGTGGTTGGTGGAGGAGGCGGTGGAGGTGGAAGAGTAGTTGGTGGAGGAGGAGGTGGTGGTGGAAGAGTAGCTGGTGGAGGAGGTGGTGGTGGTGGAAGAGTAGCTGGTGGAGGAGGTGGTGGTGGAAGAGTAGCTGGTGGAGGAGGTGGTGGTGGAAGAGTAATTGGAGGAGGCGGCGGTGGTAGCGGAGCACCAGTAGTAGCTGGTAACCCACCAGTTGAACACACAGATACACACTTTGGCATGCAGAGGCTGATACAGATCTGTGTCGGGCAGGTCCTGCAAGTCTGTTGACAGATGTCGCATGTGGCTGGGGCAGATGTGGCGACTGGTGGAGGAGGAGGTGGAGGAGGAAGAGTAATTGGTGGAGGAGGTGGTGGTGGTGGAAGAGTGGTTGGTGGAGGTGGTGGAGGAGGTGGGAGGGTTGTTGGTGGAGGTGGTGGAGGAGGTGGGAGGGTTGTTGGTGGAGGTGGTGGAGGAGGTGGGAGGGTTGTTGGTGGAGGTGGTGGAGGAGGTGGGAGGGTTGTTGGTGGAGGTGGTGGAGGAGGTGGGAGGGTTGTTGGTGGAGGTGGTTGTGAGGGAGGAATTGTAGGTTGTGTGCCTGCCACAGGAACTACAACAACTGGAATAGCACACGTTTGACAGCAGCTATTAGTGCATCCTGAAATGTAGTAATGGAATAGAACTTATTTCTGAGGAAAAAAAAGCATGGAAGGTTCACCTTCCCAAGCACCTCACCTGTAATGCACGTCGGTGTTCTACACATTGGAACACATTGTGCGTTACAAGCTCCAAAACAAGAAAGTGCTGTCTATAAAATATCCATTGAGAGCAAAATGTTATCCAAAGCGAGTTTAGAAGCTTACCGGAGGACAGCATGACATCAAAGCCGATGAACAGCAACTCCTCTTTACTCGTGACAAGGAAGTTTTCTGGAACAGATGTAGGGTTTACATGTAGGTTTTTACAATGTCTCAAAAGTGGTAGGTAGAGAGGATAAAGAATAAAACAAGAATCTGAATTGAACAAACAAAGATTCTGCTAATAAGCGGACCCAATTCTGATATCAGTTAGGTCCAGTTTTTGAATTTAAAGCTAGCAGAACTATTTTGATGTAAGAACAACTCTAAGCTACTAGTTGCTCTTCAGCGATGCTACCGCGCTGGAAATCGAACAACAAACACAAACTGGAAAGTAATGGTGCAAAGCTTCGAGAACTGGAGGCTTATGGATGTTGACAGGTTTAAACTTCTGAAGAAATCTACAGAAATGAAGAGTCATATTTTATGTCGAAATGACTTAGTAGCCTTTTCATGGCAATATGATATGGAAAATAAGTAACAAAGGCATTCAAACGTGTCAAAAACTGGAGAAATTGTGCTGCATGAGGCATATGTAAATGCTGACCTTATTGAATACCAAAGCTCTCAGTTCGCTAAGCTTATCAGCTTCCACGAGATGTGCCGTAGAGGCAAATAACAATAAGCAGGCGAAGGTAGCACACCTAAAGGCCGAATCCATTGCCTGGTGTGGTTGTGGTGATCTGGAACTAACATCGACGAGCTTTTATACCCTTCGGTAGAATTTGAAAGTGGGTGGGGTTCGTTACGAGGACTGGCTTTCGCTAACAGAAACGCACAGAATCAACGTAAGGAAAAACTACTGGTATCAGTGCTCCACGAGAGCAAGCGCTTGCTTGGTTTTTGGAGACAGAGTTATAGTTGTTAGTTTTCATCAACTAACAAGGGAGGCTATCTAACTTACGACCTTTTGGCAAGGAACGTATAAAGTCTGAATCAGCTTCAAACGCTGATATCAAATATTTTTCTAGCTGCCACGCACCATTTCGAAGTGAGTTATGGGCTTTTTACTGCGCAAAATTGGCATGCTCATCGACTCAAGGGCGTCATGTCATAATCATTCAACTGCTAATACACCTGCGTTAAGCTTTTTTTAGTGAGAAAAGATTGGATTTGTACTATTTCGATACCTCAGCACCTTTTTCTTGCAAATTTTTTTCTACAGACAGTCCTCTCATGTTCGTAGCACGCCAATTTTGCGTAGGAAAAAGTCCATAATTCGCTTCAGAATGGTGTGTGGCAGCTAGGAATAGCATATTTGGAATCAGCGTTTGAAGCTGATTCAGAATATATATGCCTTTTACCAAAAGCCCAAGCTAAGTTAGGTAGCATTCCTTATAAGTTACAAATAACGATTGCTTGCTCAATGTTTATGACATAGTAAAGCTCTATAGGTCTACGGCAGAGTAGCTTCTATGATTGTTGTCTTAGATTATTCTTGCCGCTGACTCGTTTAAGAAATGTCCTTGCCTTAGTGAATACACATTTTTCAGAATCAGCAGCTGCTGTGCTTTTGACAGTTACAGAGCAACGTGAAGAAAATTTCACCCAACAATGTGCTACCTTAGATTAAGGTCGCATTGCAGGAGCGAAACGCGAACAGAATTTCGAGTATTCACATCACCGCCCCATCGGTAAGCACTTTGATGGTTGAGTACGGATAAATTTTTGCTGAAAGGCGAAACTTACTAGTGATTGTAATAACCTAAAAATCTACGTTAGGTACTCGGATACAGTAGAAGAATTTGAAGCCATTGGGCATTATCCAACTTAGAATTGCTTAAAAATGAAATTTTTTTCGATATCTCTGAATACTGTTGAAAATTTGGTTTGGATTCCGCAGTTGAAATAACGAGCAGAAAACTCAACGGTCCCAAATGTTTTGTAATACTTGATCACAATAAAGGGTGCGAAATATTCATTTTAAACTCAACTGATCCTTGAAGAGTTGTTGCTCTCTAAAAAGCAACCTAGGCCGATTAAGGTATACTTGAAGCTCATCTCTTCCACGCAAAAAAAATTTACGATTTTATTCGGCATATTTTGAACAGGGAAGAAAGCCTTGAAACGTGCTTGATATTTTCTACAATCTTCACAAACGACATCAAATTCACTAGAAATTATAAAATTTCGGCAAGCCATGCATCTGCACTTTTATGCGCACGAGGCCTCCCGGACGCGATTTAGATAGTCTATCATTATCTAGATAGCCATGACCAGGTTTGTCTTCACCGTAGTTGAATGTACTCAATGGGCTCATATGTAATTCCATAGCATTTTGGAAACTGCACTATCACTGCCAAAATCGCCCACTTCCAATTGCAACTAATTGTTTGCTACGACAGCGTAAACCACGGAGCCGGCAGGAGGGGGCAAATGTCAAGCTAGAAATCGTTTCGGATGGGAAGCAAAGGCGACATTGTGAATATACATTTACATTTACTCTCTCGACAAGTTACTACACGATTGACACGCAAAAACAAGATTATGCTCGCGCGTCACCTTCAATGAGTTGTAATTAGATGGTTTGATTGAAGGGCTTAACAATATGACTAAGAATGTGGAGTAAAACGGACATGGACTAGGAGGACCATAGTACAAAGTATTGTGGAAAAACTGTATGACTGAAGGCTGTCGCAAGCTTTTTTTTGAATTCCCACCACCTCAAAATGATAAAATGGCTCGTTTGCAGCGCATAGATGACAGTATGGCACGAAATTTGGTGTGTGTACGCGCAGTTGGACTAAGGAACAAATAAAAAAGTGCGAAAATCCTATCTGAAATAAAACCTGCTTAGCTTTCTTTCAAATCAGGTGGGCAATTGCGCACTTAATACCTACATTAGGTATTGACAATTTGTATTTCACATAATGTTTTTCAAAAAATTTACATAAATTAGTTTCATGAAACTTAGTTTATAGTTACCTTCTGGTTTCAAAACTCCGCCTATCCTTTTTGTTGGATCCGGGATAGCAACGACGCCGGTCCTTCAAGAACGAAAGAGCGCTCCAATCGAACAATCTGCGCAGCTGGAGGGATCAAGTGGGAAATCATAAAAATCGATAGTGACAAAAACGAAGTCGTTTCAAGGATGTCCATTTGCCACCCTCTTGCTAGTCCTAGCCTTAATCAATTCTGCAAATTAAGAAAGTAAATCAGCCAATGGAATTTAGCGTGACTATCTTAAACTGAGTATTTGAGCTTCGCTAGTTTTGCTTTGTAATTTCTTCCTGAAATAAGTAGTCTGTTCTGATCCTGAATTGGAAAAGAGTCTTCACTGTTTTCTCTTTTTACTGTTTTCTCTCACAGCGCACATTTAGTTCAAAGATGATGTAGATATGTTTTAGTTCAGAAAAGCTCTTCATATTGCAAATTGTACGCAAAAGAACGCTCACCAAAAAATGGGAGCTGACAAGGAAGTGGGTAAAAGTCGAAGTGGCCGATTCAGATCAGCTGCACATTGTCAGATGCAGCATAAAACGCTGCCTTCAAAACTATCTTCTTTAACTGCATAACACTTTTGTGAACGACGCTTTAGCCATAATTTCGCTGAGGAATTATGCGTGCAATGTTCCAATTTGGCAGTCAGAGACAATTTTGGCTTAGTGCTGGACCAAAGCATGCAGCTAGATCACTTCATATATCTCGTACTTGAAGGTGAGCTAGGACGGCAATAATGTGCTTCACTTCGCAATGTTTATGTACGATTCTCTCGCAATAAAACTATTAATAACTCTGCCTACAAGTCGTTCAGCGGATTATGTAAAAGTACTTGAATCAGCGTTTTGAGCTACGTCGAATGATAAGCAGCTTGTTTGTGTTGGCCACTTCGACTTTTGATCATTCCCGTTCGAGACTTGAACTTTTGTAGCTACCGCTAGGTTTGTTTACGTTTAGGTCAGGTTCAAGTTAGTTTGATATAATATATTTCGTAGGTACAGGCCCCGTAAAACCCAATTGCCCACGCGTCGCTTTGAACACCAACGCGCGGCGCGGCTGGAAACATTTGGTCCCGGAGCGCTACAGGCTTTTTTCGAGCGACAATGAGCGCGCGTCCTTTCCACACATATTTTTTTAAACTTTTGAGGGGGGCTTTCGTCGAGATATACCTGGCATTGACGATAACAACATGAAAGTTGAAGAAAGATTTTTTGGAATTTAGTGAACGACGACAGTCGTTCGCGACGACCGCTCGCTTGCGCTGGTGTTCAAGGCACGGCGCGGGCAATTAGGTTTTACGGCGCCTATATTTAGATTGCGTGTATGAGACAGAGACAAGTTGCAGGACCGTCTCACCATATTACAGATTTTCAGTCTGACGCTGTTGATCCTCGTTAGTGTTCGACTTCTTTTATGTCATTCCTTACAATTTTAAACTTACTCTTGCTGCTTGCTTCTCTGTATTTGTTTCCAAATCAGTTCCTTGGTTCACCGTGTCATAAATTTTTAAGGTTGTGCTAGGTTATTCGCCCAAAAACTTTGCATTTCGCATCACATTAATAGCATTTATTCAGGTGTAAATTCGGTGGCTTGACAACCTCACAGAACAATGCAAATCATCCTCGCACGATATTTGGCGTCCCTTCAAAAAACATGACTGCCTAGTCAGCTTCGTATACTCAATATAAAAGTTTTCGTTGCTTAAATGTCCCTTGAGGTTGCAATAAACTTCAAGAAATCATTTCAAAGGTTTTAGATATGGTCCACAGATCCGGCATCTCAACTTGAAAAATTGCCTCGCTTTTTAGAATCCGCTGTGATCACTAACCAATCATCCTTTACTTGTGTCTGAATTGAGAGATAAACCATGACTTGTTCTTTGGGAGTAGACCTCTTCAAACCGTTTCTGTGCAATTTACTAAAGCACCTCTTCTTGCTTACTGCTACTGGTTCGGATTACGCCCGTTCAAAAGTGCGCAAAAAGTTGTCTCTTCAACAATAGCTTGCACAGAAACGTGTAAACACTTCTCGAGCAAAATTCTGGTAAAGCTACTGCTCGCATTATTGTGCAGTACAGATACATTGTTGTATGGGGTTGGTGACATCTAGATCTGTAGAGCAAGAAGCAAAATGGAAATGTTGACCCTTTGCGGCAATCTCCATCCGCAACTACCATAATCCATGCTGGATTATGGTAGTTCCTGTTCCTGTGGCCGTATTCATGAACCCTGAGGTAAACTATCCCTGGAGGGTTACTTTAACCCTGAAAAGCGACTAACCCGTATTCATGAAACAAAGGGTAGGCTTAACCCTGAAGGTAAATCTAACCTTGAGGGTAAATCTTATCCCGAAAGCGACGACTAGCCCGTATTCATCAACGAATCCTGAGGATTAAACTAACCCTGGAGGGTAAAACTTACGTGATTCATCAGGGTTAATTTAACCCTAGCATAGAGCAAGGTTAACTCTACCCTAACACTTCATACAAACATTTACTCGCATCTAATAGTTTTATGAAAAACGATCAACGAGTATTGTAGCATTTAGTATTAGTTGTTGTTATAGTATTAGTTTCAACTTCGTTTTAAGTTCAAATTCGAAATACATGAAAAACTGACTTCGCGAGAAAAAAATTCTAGCTTTGGTGACAAATGAATGCGACGAGGAAAAATGGTTGCGCATTCCACTCTGATAAGTGCCAAAACTGAAAAACCCCTTTTT